CTCCCCAGCATATTTATAGGCCCCCTTCAGATACTGGAAGGCTGCTATGAGGTTTAAACGTACTATAGTAACATCATGTTCATCTGGTTTATCTTTAATACACTATTGAAAATCCTGAAGTTGTAATATTTTGGGGCTTGAAACCTGAATCATCTCATAGAGTTTCATGAGATTCTGCTAGCATCTTAGGTCCTCATATCTATCAGGGAGTAGCAAGGGCTGGCTGCTCCCTAAGGGGTAAGGAGAGGTCAAAGAAACCACCCTGCCAGGAGGGGTTCAAGTGGAGCTGGACTGAAATGCCCCTCCCCCAGTGATGGGGGAAGTGCCAGGGAAGTTGGGCAGGGCCAGTAAGGGCTGATAATGCCCTCATAGCTCTATGAGTATCCCCTTACAATACTTTAATTGCTAGCATTTTGTTATTAGTAAAAGCTCTATGTATTCTGACTATGTTGATTTTTGTTATATACAGTATAATATTTGAAATGGTATTACAAATTATTTACTACCTCTTTTCTGAAGACCACATTTACATAGCAATGCAGGAATAGAAAGTTTAAGTGGTCTGTTAATGAGAAGGTGTGTATATATAGTCTGCTATTCTTCATATAAAATCACATCTGCTAAGAAATAATTAAGGAATTAGTAACATCAAAGATATTTCTGTGTCAATGTGTCATGCATCAGATATAAAGAGTTATACTTCAGTACAGAATTTAAATCAGGAGAAATGATATTTGAAGTGAAAACTTCTTACTCTGTTACATATGGTTCATTAAGGATGAGGAAAAAACACAGAAAGTAGCGTCCCTCAAGTAGTCTTGCCACAGATGATTCCTTTTAAAAGTTTTAGCTTTTTAAAAAATAGACCTTTTCAAGACATTGTTCAGAATTTTATTTGCACACCTGAAAAATGTTTCCTATTAAAATGAGTTCAGTAATCATTTCCAGAAAAAAAAAATTAATTTCACTATCTGAAATTCTTTGTTCTTTTGGGGTTTTTGCATGTGTTTGCAAAGCAAGCTTTGCATTGTCCTGTAAATGGGCAATACAGCTGAGAAAAGAAGCTGTCTGCTAAGGAACTAGTTGCCATTAGTGTGTGTGAAGAATACTCACAAAATCTTCACATAAACAATATGACGTGTTCCACATTTTTCACTGGCTTTGCAATAGACATTAAACTATTCCTGAAAATGCTTAACAAATACAGGTAATCTGAGAGCAAATTTATACAGCACACTAACGGCTGTGCTTAATTCATCACACGTTCTTGCAGTTCAAGTTAGAATTACAAAGAGTGGGAAAGAAGCCATGGTTGTTTGAATGCTAATGCAAAATGAGGAAACAGGAGCAATATCTGAATTTCCATGAGAGAGGGAGGGAGGAAAGAAGTCAGCTTTCCAGTTGCAGTTGGATTTTAGGGACTACTTTGCTCCAAGACCAAATAATACTCATAATCTGAAAGTGGTCTAAGTTTTCTGTACTTCAGGAAACTCCCTGTTCAAGTGTCCCATACTGCAAGTTTAGACAGCAAGAACAGCTTCTGAACTCACAGGACTGGGGCTGCAAGAATGACATGGCATATTCCAGGGGTAGAAAGTTGGAATGGGCAGGATAGATCTGCCTTTTTAGCTCTTTTTCTCATGCATTCAAGTTAACTCTGCATCAAGAACTGATAATAGGTGAAGAACTTCTTCAGGGATGTTCCTTCGAGTTGCTCATGCTAATGCTAACACTGCATGTATACAATTATATTCTAAATATGAAGCATGTCTGTTCCTGATACTGATAATGCTGAGCTATAGATATACATGGAACTCATTTTATAGCATTACATTATCTAATTACATGTAAAGGAAAAACATCAGTACATTACTTTATTGCGTGTAATGGAAAAATGGTCTTTATGCTCACCTCTAAATGGAAAATCTGATATACAGCTGTATAATGCCAGGAACAACAGTAAGAGATCTTTGCTCATTTTTTAATGTGTGGCTTTTTGTCAGGTATATAACTTAAAGCCTTTTTCGTTAAGTATATATACAGAAATTATCCTAACTAGTTGTCCTGGTTTCGGCTGGAACAGAGTGGTACATAGTACTAGCTGGGTTTAAACCACAACACTAATATACCAGTCTGGGGCTTTTTTTATACTTAATCAGCTATTGGGTGATGTCAGCCTAGAAAATTATATCAAGAAAATAACTGTTCTTGTTCCTAGGCTTGTCTGACTTCAGAACAAATGTTACTTATTTACAAATACTTCCAGTATTTGAAGAGCTTAATAATCCCCCCTTTTTTTTCAGGAAAACTGTGTGATAACACATTTCTGTCTCCCTTCTGATATTGTTATATCAAGTACTTTGTGGATTATCAAGTCTATTAAATTGCATGCTGAAGTTTTACATCAGAAAGAGTAGCAGATATGGTGATGCAGAGAGAAAATTATCCAATGTTTTTATACCACAGATATATTTGTGTCCATATGACTGATGTTTATCTCAGTTTTATACTCATCTTACAGATCTTTAATTCCTCTGATTCCAGCTAAGTATCCCCTGAGTTACTAGCTCCTCTGAGCAGACTACCTTTGAATATCTTGAACCTGTCCTTAGGCACTTCCTGTGGAAAACAGAAGTGCAGGTAAACTCTGTAGATAAAATGCTGGGCTGCTTAAATTGTTGGAGTTCTGCCGCTGGGTTTTTTTTTCTTCCAGAATTTAAGGTTGCAGCTTTATATTTGACATCTAGAAACTAAGGAATATAGATTTAAGTTCTTAACTTCCTCATCCCTCTTTTTATCTTTAAATAAGACAAAGGAGAAGAAAGAAGGCTTGGCTCACCTAGTTTTTCATTATCCCATATCTGAGAATTTGATATCCAAGTTCTTTATTTACAATTAGAACCTGAGCACAAGAAACCTGAGAGACAGGTTTTAGCCTGAGAATCTTGTTAAGTATTTTCCTAAGGTGAAAGGAAAGAAACATTCAGATTAGACTATGGATAGTGCTTGGAAGTGTAAATTGCCAGTTAGCTGAGCTGGCAAAAATAGGCATAGGAGTACCCTCCCTTGCTAAGGGTGAGATTAATCCGAGAAGACTCTTAGCGGAATACTGGCTAAGCAAAAGGGAAAACAGCTCCTTAAATATATATTTCAGCTATACAGCTCTCTTATCAGGACAACCTTCTTTCCCAGAGCAGCAGTTGCCTGGACTAATGATCTTCAAAAGACCATAAGGAAAGTGAAAATCAAATCAAGTGTTGAGAAAAAGGTCCTTAGCAGCTGCTTTTGTTGCCAGAAGCTCCCTTGATTGCATCACATGTTTAACTCAAACCAGTCACACTGAACAGTGTCTCACTGATAATTACAGCTTCTTATATAGGAAGATGAACAAGTGATTTTCATCTGCCAGATTCCATGATGCAGAGCTAATTGTCAGGATGTTAGAGAGGTCATAGCATGGTCCAGCGAGAGATGAAACACACCTGAACTCTTAGAAATTAGCTCAGAATAATTTCAGACTTCCCAGGGAACTGATTGTCATTTAAAGTTAATAATCATAGTGAAAACAACTGGGAAGAGTGTTTCTGGCAGAGGCAAGGCCTGGATTCAAAGGAATGGATTTTAACGTGTAGAAAAATTAAGTGCAACGCTAATGAATCATTCAGGTAAAAATAAATATTTATGTATGGCTTCTTAACTCCTTTCTTATCTTGTAAAACTTTCAAGAACAGGAAGAACCAATATGCTCACATACAAACACAAAGTAGCCTATCTAACCTAATATGCTCAGTGCAGGAATGCCCAGGGAAGAATTTAAGATGAGTATATAATGATTTTCAGATTCTTTTTTTTTCCCAGCCCTTAGTCATTCCTAGCTAAGGCACTTTCCCAACTGTTTTTGTCAGGTGTTTTACCTATGCTTAGTTGCCAGAAGCATTAATATACCTAAGGTCTCACTGCAAGCTTCAGGGGAAGTACAGTGTGGTATAAGGTGATTCCATGGAGGAAAGTGCCTCTGCAGCAGCAGCAGCAACCACCAAATTTTCCCTCTTCTCATGCACTCATCACCTTCCAATGACAGCATGATAAGTAAGCTCTTTTTTTTTAGGCTGGGTTTCTCATGGCTATCTGTTGAAGCTTTTTCCCCTGCATCTGTACTTCCCTTGGAGGGGTGGATCTGGCTTCTCATTCTTCAGGAAGCAAAATTCAGTTCTGTCTTCATTTCTCAGATTCCTTAAGCTGGCTATGAACACAGGATATGCTTACGCATATATATGTAAACATTCCTAGAATGCTTATAGTAGGATGCTGATAGCAATGTAGTCATGCTGCAAATGACTCCAAAAATGTTAAGACTGTACTTAACATCATACCATGCTTGTCTTTGTTCTGCATCAGTTTGATCACTGATGAACCTAGGACAATCACTAGTAGCACCTGTCAGGTACTACTGGTGGGGGGGTCAGGGTTGTTTGTAATATGACCTCACCTCCCAGTGCTCTCTTCCTTTGCTTTTTCAAGAATAGTAATACCTCTTACCTTCAAAGAAATGCATGGCTGTCTTTGTAAGGTTTTAGTAAGTGCAATCCTAATACTGTAGGTTGCGCAGGTTAATAGACTAATGTAATATAGTGTTGGTTAAGTAATTAGGAAAATGTATGTTAGCTATGTGGAAAAGGCTAACAAACCAGGTGTGTATTAAAGTTTTTGAATTTGCAACTTTGTACTATCCTGAGGAAATAAAGTATGTTTTGTATAAATTAAGTTCAGCTCTGATTTCTAAATCAGGGATTCCATGAACAAAGGTTTTAAGCTTGAGACAGCAATCTTGTTATTCTTTTACATAAAAATTTGACTTGTAAAATAGTTTGTGAAATCATTAAAGAGGCTGTTATGTTTGACAGAACTCCCCTCTCAGGATGCATGTTTATGTTTAGTTCTAACTTAATTCTACCTCAGTTTTTTGTTCTCTCATTTATTGTCTTATACATGTTTCCCAGGATAGCCCACTGGTCTTACAGTCTGACAGAAATGTAACAGTGAACGCAAGAAATCACATGGGACAGTTAACTGGACAACTGACAGTAGGTGAGTGTTCTTTATTGACTGTTATGTACATCAGTTTAGCTTTATGAATAGGTTTCATTAGTTAAAATTTAGGATAAATTGTTGCTGAATAGTCAGAAAAAAATTCATCACCATAGTCAAACAAAAAAAAACCAATGTGTACAACAGATTAGAAGAGCATGATTCAGTATTAGCTGAGTGCAGGGAAAGTAGAAACTGCTCCAAATATTTAAAACAGTTTAATGGAAAATTATAATTTTTGAGGCAGCTGTAACAAAACAAACTAAAAAAAAAAATCAGCAAAAAATATTTCAGTAACAGTTTTGGTGAGGATAATAATTACCATATTCTCACAAGTTCTGTCAGTCTTCCATTGCTTCAGTGGGAATTGGTTTGCTCCCATTAGTCTTGCAGTGCAGCTGCATCAGCATATATTGAAAACAGTTGGAGTAGCAGAATGTAAAAAAAAAAAAACCCAAACCAAAACAAAAATCCAACTGCTTTCCTAGTCATTATGAAATTCTGGTGGAAAATGATCATACTGCCAGTCCTTGGATAAAATCGTGGCTGATATTTTGCAAAACATAAAATACAGCAGATCAGAGTTCCAAATGAAATAGAAATAAAAAATCCTGTACTTATCTGTTGTGCTTTTCACGAGTTTTCTCCTTTAAGTTTACCATGTTATGCTGCCTTTTTAGAACAAATTGTACTTACTGTATTAATACATATGAAGTAATATTTTTTATATTTTCAGTACTAGGATAGTACTGAAGATATTCATTGCTTTTTAAGAATATTGGCCAGAAATTCAGTACAAAGCAACGTTCTAGATATGTTAGAAAACAATATACGTTGACTGGGAATAAGATGAAAAATAATACAAACAGGTATGTCTAAGATACCAACATCTGTATAAATTTGAGGAGAAAACCCTTAGACTCTGCATCTTTTTTTGTTGGGTTTTTTTTTTTTCCACTTCTGGGTTAAGCTGTGTTTTACCTACTCTTGTGCCAAGGCTATGCTCATGAGTAGTGTTAAATTAATGCTAGTTGTAATCTTCACCAAGCTTTCATACTAGCTGGAGATACCTGCTTCAAGTTGTAAAAAATCTTTGGCAAGTGCATACAGTGACACACCATCTGCACTGATTTCCCTGAATGACCACATCAAATGAGTGTGCAAAGGTAACCAGACTTACTAGCAGATACAGATAGATGAGGAAAATTAAGCTAACACCTGTTCTAGCCATATTGTACTTGCCCAGTGTGTTTATGGAACACAGTTCTGTCTCATCCAATAGCTCTATTATTAAAACCTTCCACTTTGGTTAGTAATTGCAAAAAGTTGAGGTGTCTATGGCAGACATTCACATTGACTAAAATAGACATGGTGTTTTGATTGCTGACACCATTTCTGCTGAGTGAATCCAGCACCGAAAATGTATGTGAGTATATTGAGATTGACTTACTTAAAGGCATCACACTAGAGGTTAATATTCTAAAAACATAAAAGGCCTGAAGAAAACATGTGTTCTTATGTTATCATCATTAGGGTGAACATCTATAAGCTTCTTGGTGTGCAGCTGGTGCAGAGTGTCTGGAGAGTGCAAGTTTGCTAGATTGCAATATTGTATTTACATTATTGCTTATTCTTTATCCTCTTATTTTTCAGGCTGTATTGCCTTTATTCTTTCTTATATTAATAGAAAAATCTTCTTTTTATAAATTCCTCATACAGCACTGAATGCCTATTAAAATATTCCTTGTTACTGATTAATTTAATATTTCTTACTATAGGTACTTGTAACTACCAGTGCCATCAGTATAAATCTGAACTATTGGAAATCAAGGATATTAACAGGCTCTTGAAATTCAGAATGTAGTATTCCTGCTTTCCCTTATAAAAAAAGTTTATTGTGTAAGGTAGAGCACTGAAAGGCAGATTTTTGCCTTGCTAAAAACATGGAAATCTCTGCTGAGAGAAGGGGTGGGGGCTTTTCTATACCACGTTTGTTGACATCAGAAAATGTTTTTTTCCTGTTGCAAATATGGTCTGGAAAGTCCCAGACTTGATAAAAAATGCTCTTTGTCGCTCCACTAGTGCTGCATGCTGAAGCAGTTATGTGTGTCTGCTGAGTGAAAGGGATGAAAATAAATAGTGGAGGAAGCAGTGAGAAGAAATTTTTAATCTTCAAAAAAAAAAGAAAGGAAATTATAATGTCTAGTTAACAACTTTGAAATGTTCTTCTGTATTAGCTTCTTTAAAAAGCTGAATAATTAAGAATCCCAAAACAAATCCAAAAAAACCCAAAACCCAACACTACAAATTTATATGCATGGCAGCGAGATTCTGAAAAGAAAGAAGGATGATTGTACATTTAGATGGATGATTGTACATTTAGATGGATGACAGTACACTTCCTATGCATGTAATACCATTGGCATTTTATCTGTATTTCACAGGACATGCATGGTGGTACAAGGCAATAAATAGGCTGGTCTCTTTGTTGTTTAAATTGCTGTTGATGTCAAATTTTATGTCAACTAAAATTTCTTTTTTTGGTGTTTGGAATTGTGCCATGCATGACTAAGACAGTCTTAAAGAGGATCTGATTAAAACTTTAACTGCAAAATAATGTAAAGAATTAGGTGTGGGGCTGTGAGAAGGATGGCTGAATGATCACCAAGGGAGATGGAAAAACTCTAGTGCACTCTTGATAACAGGTATTCAATTCTGTGAGTTATCGTGCGAGTTATTTCTGTAAAGTACATCATTAAGACATCTTGAAACACATCATAATCTAGGAGGAGTGAAGAAAAAATATGGTAAAAAAAAAAAGAAAAAAAGCTTAGACGACTTCAGTGGTTACATGTTTAAATGGTATAAAATAAAATTATGGCTCCAGGTCTTACAAAACCAAGGTTGCATTCATTACCATAGTACAGTGTGTTTATACTGACACTAAAAATTGTACCGAGAGAAAGTCACAGGTGTAGCAATTCTGTCTGTTGAGATCTACACCAACTGGGCTAAAGTGCTGGTTTGTGCTCTGGTCTATTCATAACATATGGTCAGGAAACTGCCAGATTTGTAACTGGATCTCCAAAAGGACTACATAGCCTTCAGTTTTTAGACATGCCGTTTCAGACCAACAAAGCAGATGTTAGGGTGGTGAGGCACTGGAATGGGTTGCTCAGGGAGATTGTGAATGCTCCATCCCTGGCAATGTTCAAGGCCAGGTTGGACAAAGCCTTGGGTGGCATGGTTTAGTGTGAGGTCTCCCTGCCCATGGCAGGGGGGTTGGAACTAGATGACCTTAAGGTCCTTTCCAACCCTAAGTATTCTATGATTCTATGAATAGCTTAAGCTCTTCTCATGGGTCACTTCATCATTAGTAAGGCTCTTCTCATTGTAACCTGTAATTTCTATGCTAAATTACTCTCTTTGCTTATATTTTTTTACAGATTTTTTTGCATCTTAAATGGAAATTTTTGTTGAAAATTACTCTGTTGTCTATTATTTTCCTTGGTTTAAGTTAGTTACTAATCAGTCCAGAGAATATTTAGATAACTCTCACAGAAAAATATTGTACCTCTGAGTATACAAATTTTATAGTATTATGTTTCTTACCAAAGTTTTATAGTAAGCTAGACACTTTCCAAATATAGGAATATAAACAATTTATATAGGAGGTGAAAATACAGCTCATATGCCAGTCTGTGCTGCAGATCCATTATCAGATATTTTAAATGACAGTAATGTGAGGTAACTTGCCCTTTCTTAGTACAGGTTAGCTACCTTGTACTTATCTGCACAGTTAAAGGATGTCTTTCAGCTTCAGGAGCACTGCAGAAGGTACAACAGAGTGGTGCCTGACAGGCCATATGGCTTTACGTCTCCTCCTGGCAAAGTACATGAGACGAGCCAAGAGGCAGTCAGAAAGCGTGCCATGTTGCTCATAACAGCTGAAATGTCCAGCTGGAATCTGAGTCTCATCCGTTCTCATAATTTACAGTGCAATGTGACGTTGCCTCTGTTTATGTCTATCTAGTCTCTAGAAAAATCTTTTTACAAACCATCTGTGCTATAACAGGTTTTGTAATAGGAGCTCACACAAAATATACTGATAGACTCCTAATGACTTTGTCTCAACTATCATGAGAATCTACTCACATTAAGTAATTATATCGAAGTATGGTATTAGGAAAATGTAAAGCCCTGAGAAAGAGTCAAAACTTCAACCTCTTTGCCAGCACTTTGAGGGGCCTGCCAAAGGAGCCTTTTAGAAATTATCATGTTAATTTATTTGAAATTCATCCATGTTTCTCCTGCATTTCTCATCTTCCAGTCATAGAAAGCCTTTCGACTTGATCGCTTTGATTCAGCATCAGAAGCAGTAGTAGTTAATGGACTAGTAAAACAGTTGCAAACAACTCTTGTAGTTTTTACTTCTGTTTGTCTTGCAAGTTGCATCATTCTCTGTGTTAATCTGCATATGTATATTTGGCATTCAGCAGTGGGGAAATTTTTCTCTTGTGATTAGGTCTTTAATTAGCTGGACTCAATACTTCTTTATACATCCATTACATAATTAACTCATAAAATTATTAACCATACCTGGTGTCACCAGTCATTTACAGTTCACTTGTGCTTGGGTAACAAGATCCCTTTGAAAGAGAGAGGTACTTTACACAGTACTTCAGATGCGTTTAGTCATTTAGGTACATTTTCAATTTTTAAGCAGTATCTTTCATATCTTTATGATAATTTCTATGTTACGTGCAGACATAACACTACATACACCACTGTTTAATATTTTATGTACTCTATGGTGTAAAACACATCTTACATCTCCTTTATGAATTGCCTCAAGAAAACTGTGCTACAAAAATAGAGTAGGAAGCTATTCCCCTGTCACTATTTAGGACCAGTGGGTAATTCTTTGTGTAGGTATGGCCATTATTTAACCTGAAATCTCTTTCCTGAAATACAAGAGCATATAGTGTCAGTTGATATGT